AAAAAAGAAGAAGAAAGAAATAATCTTATTTAGGACAAGGGTGAGCATTGCGTATGGATACACGTACCTTTTTCATTTGGAAAAATATTATACTTGAACTTAAAAAAAATAGATAAGTGTATCAAACCCTGCCGGTGAAATTCCGACCATCAACAGATACTCTGATTCATCGTATTTCAGAAGCTCATTTTCTCCGGCTACCTCGTCGACGTGAAGACTCATCTCGCAGTAGTCTGGTTTAACAAAGAAAAAGAATAAGAGTAAATGGGCAAGCTTTAATTTCTCTGAGAAGTAGATAGGTCAGCTCGACATTTACCGTCTTGGGTTTCTTGATCGACATCTTGAGGTGGGTCGAACTAGACGACCTTGAGAATGGCGGGAGACACTTCAAGAGAAAAACTCAAGAAATTGAGTTAGATTCGATGGGGGATTTCAATCAATTTCGATTCTTGAAACAGGAAATGAAGAGGGGTTCTAAAAATTACAGTTGGGTTCGTCGGGGTTGTATTCTTTATCAGAATCTTCTTTTCTGGGGTCGATTGAGATGGATAAAGCACTTCTTCCGTTACCTGCTTCAAAAAGGATAAGAAGAAGCGTTCTGATATTCAATCTTCCAGAGCAAGATTCCCAACAGTTGAAGAAATCGCAACCTCTAGAGAGGATACGCAGAGCAGCAACGATGTTGCCACCATCCTTGACTGTAAGTGACTGCGGGCGAGAATTGTAGGGTGGCCATGGCGATTCCACATCCTACCAGTACTGCAACGGCGTTTTTGAACGGTTCTGTAAGGTCTAACAACATAGCTGTTTGACAGTTTGGCTGTTTGGCAGGTTTTACTCTCTTCTTAAAGGTAATATAATTACAAAAAACTGGTTTGCAGCCGGTGATGTCAATTTTTAGGTAAGGTCTGTATTTCATTATCATGTTCATAATGTTCATTCTATATGGAATTCCTACCAAAGACCTAAAAGAGGAGTTTATGCTTTTGCTACTTGTGGGCTTTGTGAATTAGCTTTAGAAGAATCAAGCCATTTATTCCTTAATTGTCAGTTGCCTATAGACTTTTAATGAGATGTTATGCATGGTGGGGTTTACTTTCTGAGTTCCCTAACTCATTTTTGGATCTATTCAAACAACATGCCTGGTTCGGGTATTACAAGTCAGTGAGGAAGGCATGGTATGTAATCTGGGTTGGTATTTTATGGAGATTAACGTTGACATACTTTTTGCATGATGAGATGACCAGGTCAAGAAGGAATAAGCAGGAGCAGGAGGAGCTTTGCTGAATATTTAGTACCTCGAGCTCTTATTGCCTTGATGGGATCATTTATTTAGTGTGAGCAAGTTATGTTCTTAGAATTTTTTTTTTTTTTTTTAAGTTTATATCAGACTTATTTGGAAT